TGAGGTATTTTCAGTGTTGGAGCTGATTTCCTTGAATTCTACGAGAAGTAATTACTGTTTTATAAGCTGTTTTGGAACACTTGTGGACAAGGAAGAAATATTAGTGTTAATATCTTCTGCTTTTTGTGGGAAACAACCTGGACCCTCTCACACAAATCACATAGGTTTGCTGTCAGCAAAATTCAGAGCAGGTCACATATGTCCCACATTCCTCTATTTTACCCTTTATTAAAATACCCAAAGATTCTTTAAACTGTTTGCAACACCTGTTCTTTCTAATAGTTGCAAGTTTTTTTCTTCTAGTTATCCAATTACTACTTCCTTTTAGACAGTGCTTTCCAACATTAAAGTTGTATCAAATAAAACTGCATTTTTAAAAAAAATTGCCTCTGAATCTCCCCTTCCTAAATCTGTTCCTCCTTAAAGATGTTTTGTCACTTAACCTACCACAGAATAAAAAGGATTATCCTAATGAATTTTTGTAAGTTTAAAACATTTTTGGCTTTGGTGTTATTGTTAAAGATATATTGAAACCTGACAGATCTCAATCTAGGTGAATATGGGACAGAATGGTGATCCTGTTAGATCACATCCTGGCCTTTATGAGTGAGCTCTGTACTTGCATATTTCCAGTAATATGATGTGTAGTTCCTTGTAATATAATGATGTAAAAATTCACCCTCTGCGATTTAATCATGTGCATTTCAGATCATGAGTTCTTGAGCTGCAGACAGGAGAGAACCATCTAAATTTAACCTTGGCCATTAGTGTTTAGCAAGTTGCTAATACAGGGCTGAATTAACAGCACGAAAGCAGGCCAATCAATCCACGGTGTTAAAGCTCCATGCTGATCTCCATCCTTTATCTAATCCCATCAAAATCTTATTCCTTTTTCACTTATATTTAGTGCCTCCTTTAGTGTGTCTGTGAAACATGTCTTTACTGTTCCCCACGGTTGCAATCTTCCCTGCAAGTGACAATCTTAAACTTGCACTGATGCTCAGGGAGATGTAATGTGCAAATAATGTGTTCACAATACAATGAATTGTTTTGAAGTGGACTTGTGAAACATGGCAGTCCATGTGTACAGCATAATCCCATAAGCAGGCAGATTTCCTTTTCAATAGGCAGGTGAGTATTATGAACAAAGACAGAAGCTGCTGGAAAAGCTCAGCAGGTCTGGCAGCATCGCTGAAGAAAAAAAAAATCAAGAGTTAACGTTTCGGGTCCGGCGACCCTTCCTCAGAACAGCATCCACAGTTCTTTAGGTTTTTATCAGGTGAGTATTATACCTGTCGGGTATTGATACCTGGCAATAAAATAATTGATTGGAGTAGAGCTGGAGCAGGCCATTCATTGGAAGGGAAAGGGGTTAATGTTGCAGATGCACAAAGTAATCAGGACTTGGAAGATGAGCTGGAAGTGAATTAAACCCTTGTATTTGATTTGAAAGATTGAAAATTCACACACTGCTGTATGTTGAAGGTGTGATTATGTGAAATGGGAGGAGCATTGATTTTTATTTTGAAAACACTTTGTGATATTCAAAGATGTTGGTAATGGTAAATGGGGGAAATGTGAAATTCATAAGGAATGAGCTGCAGCCAGAGATCCATGCTGAATGAACGTATATCTCGAATCCACGATGGGTCAAGCACTATCTGTGAAGATAAATTAATGTCCCAGGTGTAAACTTGCTTCAGAACGGAGGAGGAATTTAGCTGTGAATAAGAGGAATGTAAAAATTAAATAGTAAACCAAACAGGAGAGATGACAATTGGGACAATGATCCATTCCAGTCATTTACAGCATAGATGGAGGCCTTTCAGCCAATCGAACCAATATTCAAGAATTTTCTTCAATTTCTTCCAACGGTATGTCATGTTTAACTCAAAGTGTGATACTGCCTGACCTCCTGAGTTTCTCCACCTCTTAAAATAGGTTGTGATTAATGGTTCTCATGATGTTAGCTTGGAGTTAAATATGGGGCGGCGGGGAGGAATTCTGAAAGAAGGCTGTGGATTCTTCTCTATCTGACTGAGAGAACAAGTAGCGGACTCCAGAGATCTTGGATCTCATCAGAAACGGGACAAACTTCAACAAGTCAGTGTGAGCTTGAATGTTGATTTCCAGTTTCTGGAGTAGTCTACGAAGGCACAATGTACTGACTCAGTGAGAGTGCTACCTACAGACTATCTGTTGAACCATCAGAGCAACAAGGAGTGTAGTTCATTCCTACTGTCTACTGTCGAGAGACAGCAGCTAGAAACTTTCGAGGTCGTGGAACGTGGTTAACCTTTATGTGATTTCTATTTTTGTCTGACATGCAATCTTGCACTTAGTGGTCTCGAGTTGAATTAGTTTCTGTATCGTTACCATTCAAACCCTGTCCTTGTAGAAATCCAGCCATAATATTTCTAATCAGCTGTACAGTTGGAGATTTTAATAGGTTGGACCTATACCTATCAGAGCTTCAAAAAAGGTGATTTTATTAAAAACGTATAAGATTCTGAGGGGATCTTGTGGCAGGGAATGAAACCAGAGGATATTGTCTTAAGAGGGGGACCATTTATTCTTAAACAGAGATTAGGTGATTTTTTGTTTCTCTCCCTCTTTGGGTTATTAGTAAGTGGAATTCTCTTCTGCAAAATGGAAGTGGAGGTCATTAAGTTAATCTTGAATAAATTTGATAGACAATGGAGTTTGTAGACCAAAAAATACAGTTAGGCCCACAATCAGATCCGTCTGCTCCCAAGTCCTATGTAAATTTTAAAACATGGGTTAATTTACAGACTGGTGTAGTTGTGGTCCAGTGATAACAGGCTGGGACTAAAGGCCTTTCTTTCTACATGTAAGTCAGTTGTTGACCCTAGCAAGCTTAAAAGCAGATGGATTTGGTATGAGAATATGAAAAGACTTGCATTCATCAATTTTAATCAACGTGTTGAGATAGATGCATTATGACACCTCTGGAGTTGACAGAGCTTGTACCTGGGCCTCCTGGCTCTAAGTCAGAGATACTGCCAATGCACAACAACAGCCCAGGCTTGCACTAATATTACCACGTTTTATGACCTCAAGATTCAAAAGCATGTCGCACGCAGTGCAGTTATTATTGTTACTGTTTTAATGTAGGAATCCTGTAGATCATTTGTCCGCCACAAGCAGAAACATGGGGAGACAAAGGCGTAGTAGTGTTTGCCACTGGACCAGTAATCCAAATCATAGGTACTGCACTGGACAAAAACTGAAATTGCTGGAGAAACTCAGTAAGTCTGGCAACTTCCGTGGAGAGAGAAACAGAGTTAACGTTTCGAGTCCAGTGACAACTCCAGGGCTGTTGGTTTGAATCCTAGGATAGCAGTTGGCGGAATTTCAATTTGGAATTAAAACTCTAATGGTGACCATCAAACCTATTTTGTTCACTAATGTCTTTAGGAAAAGACATCTATCAGGCCTACACGTGACTCCAGACCTCAGCAATGTGGTTGTCTCTGAAATGACCAAGCCAGTTGAGTCCAACAATTTCAGTACTTTTATAAAAACCGAATGAAACTGTGTAGACCACCTGGCCTTGACATAAGTCCCTGAAACAACAACAGGTCCAGGACATCTCTGCAAAGTTCCCCAGGGTAGTATCCTCGTCCCAACTACCTTCAACTACTTCATCAGTGACCTTCCCTCCATCATAAGGTCAGAAGTGGTGATGTTCACTAATAATTGCACAATGTTCAGCACCATTCAGGATTCCTCAGATACTGAAGTAATCCACGTTCAAATGCAACAGGATTTGGACAATATCCAGGCTTGGGCTGACAAGTGGCATGTAACATTTGCACCCACACAAATGCCAGGCAAAGATCATTTCCCACAAGAGAGAATCTAACCACCACCCCTTGACATTCAATGACATTATCATTGCTAAACACCCATTATCAACATTCTGAGTGTTACCATTGAACCTGAACTGGACTAGCCATATAAATAGTGTGACAATAAGAGTAGGTCAGAGGCTTGGCAAAAATCCTGCAGCGAGTAACTCAGCTCCTGATTCCGCAAAGCCTGTCCCCACCATCTACAAGGTACAAGTCAGGAGTGTGATGGAATACTCCCCACTTCCCTGGATGAGTGCAGCCCCAACAACACTCAAGATGCTTGACACCATCCAGGACAAAGCAGCCTGCTTGACTAGCACCACATCCACAAGCGTCCACTCCCTCCACCACCGATGCTCAGTAGCAGCAGTGTGTACTATCTACAAGATGCACTGAAGAGACTCACTAAAGATCCTCAGACAGCACCCTCCAAAACCGACGACCATTTCCATCTAGAAGGACCAGGGCAGCAGATACACCATATAAGTATATAATATTTGTAAAATCATCTTTATCTAAAGAAAATTCTAAAAGATATACAGATGTAGAAGGCAACATCACAAGGGAGGTTCACTTGTGCTACTCGAAGGGGTTTAAACTAGAGTGGCAGAGTGCTGGGAACCAGATCAGCAAGTAGAGGGATTGAAGGGAAGGTAGATGTTAAGACCAATAAATCAGAAAGAAAGGACAGGCAGAGACAGTTCCCCTCCAAGCCACTCACCATCCTGATTAGGAATTATATTACACATATCAAATGGGAGTGATAGTAGAGTGGATCAGGATGTCACAGAGGGTATGCTCTGTAGAGGGGGTCTTGGTCATCTTGCTGCCATGATTGCATCTCGAATACTAAAGAACTCATCCTCTACCCTCCCGACACCCACTCCATCCATGTCATGGGCACATTCTCCGTGACCGAATGAAAACCCCAGCTCTCAATCCCCTTCTACAGAATTGAACAAACAGGGACAACCGGTTCTCCTAGCGCCACCGCCCCCAATACACAGTAAAACAAAAACAGCCTCGGGCTGTACACAACAAAGTTGCAACATAGTGTAATCTCCCTTTCAGGGTAGCAACTGGTCGATAATGTTGCAACTTGCGTTTTGTGAGCTATCAGTTTAACAGGAGGATGGTGAACAAGGCTCAGCAGAGCAGGCGAGGCTGGGATCGGGCTGTTGAGAAATAATGGTGAGATCTTGTTTTTGGGAAGGCTCGAATCATTCGCCTTCTGTTTCTGCCCCTCCCAGCTCTCCAACAGGAAAGTGGGTCATCTCCAATAACATGTAACTTGCAACTGGTCCCGGACACTGAAGGTACATGTGAGAGAGGGTGGGGAGAGGTCTGCAGACCCGCCCCCTCTATCCCTCCCTCAGTGAGTAAGCTCTCTGCCCAGAAATAGAGCCAGCTGCAGTATAAAGCTGTGAGCTCCTCACTGACTGCGAATCACTTACAGTGCAGTAGCGGTACAGCTCACTGCTTAAACAAGAGGGACAAAGGACATTCGCTTATTGTCTTTTTAAAAAAGCGCTCAGTGGTGAGCCCGGCCTTTGCTATGAAATACTATTCGGCAGTTTCCAGGTACGCGGTACCAGCGAGCAGCCTGAAGCCGCCTGCTCGCACCGTCCACTTCCCCAATGATATTGTCTTCCTGGATCATATCCGCCAGGGTGACCTAGAACAAATTGGGCGCTTCATCAGAGCCGGGAAGGTGAAACTGGACACCTTGTACCTGACTGGTGAGTACAGCAGAGCTCAGTGACTATAGGAAGGATGTTGTGAAACTTGAAAGGGTTCAGAGAAGATTGATAAGGGTGTTACCAGGGCTGGAGGGTTTGAGCTGTAGGGAGAGGCTGAATAAACTGGGGCTATTTTCTCTGGAGTGTTGGAGACTGAGGGATGACCTTGTAGAGGTTTATAAAATCATGAGGGGCCTGGATAGGGTGGATAACCAAGGTCTTTTTCCCGGAGTGGGGAAGTCCAAAACCAGAGGGCATAGGTTTCAGGTGAGAGGGGGAAGATTTAAAAGGGACCTTAGGGGCAACTTTTTCACGCAGAGGGTCGTGTGTGTATGGAATGAGCTGCCAGAGGAAGTGGTGGAGACTGGTACAATTACAACATTTAAAAGGCATCTGGATGGGTATATGAATAAGAAGGGTTTAGAGGGATACGGGCCAAATGCTAGTTTAATTTAGGATATCTGGTCAGCATGGATGATTTGGACTGTAGGGACTGTTTCCATGCTGTACAGCTCTATGACTTTATGACTGCCCTTGCCCCACACAGGGAGAGGGGGGTTGGGGAATTACCAATGGGTACTACACCCCCAACAGCACCCCTTATTGCTGGCAAATAGGGAGATTTATAAGGAAAATTCCATGGCATCTGTTTGAGTTGAAACCATCAACTGATTTGTGCATCAGTCCCAATGAATACACATTTATATAAAGGGCTGTAAAAAATGATTGGATGAAACTTTCTGGCTCATCCTGCAGTTTTCTAAGACATATGTAAGCTCTTATCCGAGTGAGAGATAGAGAGTGAGAGATGACTGGTGGTGATGGTTTAACCTAAAGGTCACTACACCTCAGGCAAGGAGAGGAGGGTCAGCTGGTGTGTGAGTTGAACCCACACTGTTCGTCTGCGTTGCATTCCAGTCATCCAGCCAACTGAGTCCAAAGGGGTAATCTCTGCTACTCTAACATTATTACATATGCACTTTCTCTATCACACTTATTGTATTGCACCAATATTACTCTCACATGTTCATTGTTACACACCTCTCCCATGGTAGTTTACCCTGTTTTTGGTCATAGATTTCCAGTATACACAGAGCTCCTACCCCAAATGCTGTAAGCAATGATATTTATAGAGCCAAAATTCAAAAGGAAATGAGCTCGAGCAACTATGCAGTTGACTGAACAAATCGTGCAGATCTCATCTTGCATTTGCAGCTCACAAACAGCTCCTGGCTGACATTGGCACTTTCTGTCCACTTTACAGGCAGAGAGTTGTGAGATTTTCCTGGCCCCCAAACTGACTGAAATGTTTAAGGCTGAGGGGTGGTGGGACTGACTGAGGTGTCCAAACTTCTGAGGGGCATAGATAGGGGCAATAGCGAAACCTTTCCCATTAGTAGAGGGGTCAAAAACCAGAGGACACAGTTTTAAGGTCAGGAGCAGGAAGTCTAGAGGGGATTTGAGGAAAATTATTTTCACTCAGAGGATTATGGATATCTGGAACTCACTGCCTGTGAGGGTGGTAGAGGCAAGAATCCTCAAAACATATAATAATTATTTAGATGAACATTTGAAACATCATAGCATATAAGGCCAAATGCTGGAACATTGGATTAAAATGGAAGGATGCTTGATGACCACTATGGTCACAATAGGCCGAAAGGTCTCCTTCTGTGCTCATAAAAAGTCTGACTCTATGACTGTAACTGCTGTGTGAGTAATGAACGCTCCTGCCTGTGGCATAGTACTTGCCTGGTGTGGTCTTGCTCAGGCCAGAATGAAATGTGAACTGTAGAGATTGCAATGCACTCTGAAATTAATTTGCTGTCAGATTTACTTGTGTGAAATTAACGAATTGCTCTGACAGTGGGTTTTGGAAACACTTAATTACATGGTTGGGGTTTGCATTTTGATTTTAGGAATGGCAGCGCTACATGAAGCGGTCCTGTCTGGAAATTTGGAATGTGTGAAACTGCTGATCAAATATGGGGCTGACATACAGCAGAAAGATGAGAATGGGTGGACTCCGCTGCACATGAGCTGCAGTGATGGGCATTTGGAAATTGCAAAGTAAGAATCTCACACACGCGCACACACTTTACATCAATAGATCATTCTGTGAAGAGGATTATAAACTAAACAATGTCGAATTAAAACGTATATGAAGTGCTTAAGCAACTTGATGGGATAGATGACACAACATGATTCATATCTGTTAAAGAAGCTAGAACATCGGGTCACAGTCTCTCAGAATAGACATTTGATCATTTAGAACTGAGAGAGAATACATTTGTTCGCTCAGAAAGTAGTGAATCTTTGGCAATCTCTAGTCCAGAAGACTGTGGAAGCTCAGGCATTGGCTATATTCAAGTCAGGATTTTATAAGAGTTTTCAGCTCTCAGGAGTACTGAGGTATGCAGGGATTGGGCAGGAACGTTTTGGAAATAAAAGATCAGCCCATTTTGTTTTATTAATTCACATAATGTGGATGTCATTGACAAGCTCAGCATTTGTTGTTCATCTCTTAATTTCCCTTTTGCCCCTTAAATGAATCAGTGTTTAAGCCCCAGTTATTCACAATCTTTATCAATAATTTGGAGACCAATTATAATAGTTCCAAGTTTGCAGCTGATACAAAACATGGTGGGAATGAGTTGTAAGTAAAATGCAAAGAGGCTGTAAAATGATTTAGACAGGCTGAGTGAGTGGGCAGGAACATGGCAGATGGAATATAATGTGGGTAAGTGAGAGATTATCCACTTTGGCAGGAGGAACAAAGGTGTAGAGTATTCCTTAAACAGTGAGACATTGGAATGCGTGGATGCCCAAAGGGATCCAGGTGTCCTTGTTCATAAACCACTGATGATTAGCAGGTAGGGAGGGGCCCTCTTGTGGTGCAGTGATGATGTCCCTACCCTTGGATTGAGAAGACCTGGGTTTAAGTCCTACCTGTTCCAGAGGTGTGTACTAACATCTCTGAACACGTTGATTAGGAAAAACAAGTTAAAGAAACAAAAATTAGCATTCAGAAAGCAAATGATATGCAAGCTTTTATTTCAAGAGAATTTGAGTACAGGAACAAAGAAATCTTGGTTCAATTGTTTGGAATGCTGATTAGACTGAAATTTGATTATGGTGTACCGTTCTGGTCTCTTTGTCTAAGGAAGCATATAACTGCCATAGAGACAGTACAGCAAAGGCTCACTAGACTGATTGCTGAGAGGAGAGATTGAGGAGAATGGACTTGTATCCTTTGAATTTTGAAGATAGTATCTCAAGATCTCAGAGAAAAATTACAAAAGTCTTGAAGGGATAGACAGAATAAATGCACAAAGGATATTTCCCCTGGGTGTGGGGGTCTAGAAACAGGAGAGACTATTTCAAAATAAAAAGGAGTTCATTTAAGATTGAGATAAGGAGGAACTTTTTCTCTGGGGTATGTGTGTGGATGTTTGGCCATGAAGAAAATTCAAAAGAGAAATTGATATATTTATATTTATTAATGACATTAAACAATATGGGGATGGAGCAGGAACATGGTTTAGAGGTTCATATTCAGCCATGATCTGGAATGGCAGAGAAGTTTAAAGGGGCTGAATGGCCTACTCCTGCTCTTATATTCCTTAAAGATGATCTGATCATTGTCATGTTGTTGTCTGTGGGAGGTTCTTGTGTGTAATTGGCTGTTATATTTCTGACACTACAGCAGTAACTAGACTTCAAAAGTACTTCACTGGATTTAAACTCTGGATGTCTTGCGATTGTGAAAGGAACTATATAAATGACATCTTTGATCTTTCTGAGTAAAAGTCACATATTTCATTTGTCTCTGACCCGTGTAGGTACCTGTTGTCCCAGGGAGCCAGAGTGAACGTGGCGAATGATGATGGGGAGCTGCCCAAGGACCTTATTGACCCTGAAGATGTCAAACTGCGGGCACTGTTTGAGCTCAGGGATGGCTGAGAACACCCCTTGATCTGGGCATATTTGACTACCACACAACACACCGTGACTAGCACCAAGAATGGAACCAGTCTTCAGTCTGTGATTCTAGACAGAAAGTGCCAGTGTCAGCCAGGAGCCATTTGTGAGCTGCAGATGTAGGATGAGATTTGCACAATTTGCTCAGTCATCTGCATAATTGCTTGAGCTCATTTCCTTTTGAATTTTGGCTCTATGAATATCATTGCTTCCAGTCGTTTTGAACAAAGCTCTCAACAGGGTTAACTGATGAGTTTAAAGAATTTCCCATTTCTGCTGCCAGCTCTCTCGATGTCACAATTTCAGGCTTTCAATGATCGTGTTTAGCACTGCCACTTCTGCCAGCCACTGTAATGAACTGAAGAATAACAAGTCTTACATACAATAGTGTCTTAATTTGCTGTGATTCCTTGCTTCTCCCCCTTGTTTCCTACAGATCCAGAGTCTCCATTGACTTGCATCTAACTATCATTGTAATTAATGCCACTTAGGAAAAAGCCCAATACTTATGTAGGTGTAAAATTTTAAAACTGAGGTGAACAACGTTTGCTATATTTTAAATACCAAAGTTACCAGAGATAGGTAGTTAACGACCTCTTTAACAAAGCTTCCAGTTATCTTTCCTAATACATCCTTGTTTGACTTGGTGTCAACATTTTTTCTCTAATTTATGCACTTCGGGATGTTGTATTGTGTTAAATTTGTTGTATAGATGCAAGTTTTTGTTAAAATATGTACTGGACCATGTTTTGTATATTTATTAATGAATAAAATTCCACATTTTGTTACTAATAGTTGTGCAAATTGACTTCCTTTCTCTTTTTGTTCACTTTCATCTTCTGCTTGATATCTCAATATTCTAATTCTATCTGTCTGGTGATTAATTATCTATTGAAGATTCAGTGACTTGTTTTTAAATAAGCTGGTCTAAAAATAGGGATTACATTTCCCATTTGGTGATTTTAATAGATACTTCAATTTTTATAAATGTTCTCAAGTTTTTATTTGTTCTGTCGAACGAAACAGAATTTTCCGTTAGCCTAAAAATAGTGGCTTAAAAGGAACTCAACCACAAGGAGTACCCTCAACAATCCAGACCAACAAACCAAGTTTCCTGAATTAATCAGCTCTATAGTTTCTGAATGAGATTGTCTTGTTAATGCCCATTGGAATTAGCACTAGACTATGAACAGCTCAATGATCACTGGTGTAGTAATGAGGTCAGTCTGGTGGACCTCATAGAATATGAGTTCCCTGATCGGGGCTGTTAATCTGGTCCAATCAGGGAGCCCTGGCTGACAATTAAAAAAAGGAATGACAGATATTCTGCACTTTGAGAGCTGGATCTGAGGGAGCTGGACCAGTGTCAAAGAAGTGTAAATAATTTAGGGTGGCTCGGGGTGACAGGATATTGGCCCCTGTGGAGTTATTTCAATTGGGATTAATGCTGGACTCTGGGCAGTTTAGTGGTTATTGAGTTTGGTGCTGTTTAAATGTAGTCACTGATTTAATGTAGAAAACGTGGCAGTGAATTTGTACGTAGCAATTTCCTACAAACAGCAGTGTAATAAAAACACAGGTAATCTACTTCAATCCTGTTGGTTGATGAATAAATATTGATTAGAACACCAGGGAGAAGCCAGCTGCTGTTTTGTGTAATGGGATCTTTTACTTTAATCTGTGATGGCAGGTACATGCTCAGTTTGATCTGCCTTATGGAAGTTAGCACACCCCCTCCAACCTCAGTACTGCATCAGAGAGTCAGCCTAGAATATGTGCCCAGGTCTTGGGGGTGGGTCTTGAATCTCTAGTTTCATATGAGACAATAATGTCAGAGAAATTATCCTGATTGGGAGCACTAACAAGACATGTTCAAAGATTGCAAATCAGTTGAGCACTTGGAGGGCTGTGAAGTAATCTCCTCTTGGCAGACAGAGATGAGCCTTGGAATTAAACAGTGATTGGATTGCAGTTCTTCTGAATATTCACTTAGCAGCTGATGTTGGGAGTGGTTATCTTCTTCAGCCCAGTTTCCCTGGCAGCTCCCGTGTGTAAAGGCACCACCTGTTGTGAGACACACAGCCTGGAAGGTTCCAGGCTGTTGCTGAGGGTATTATCTGCAGGAGTGAGGGCACCAGAATAGGAAAGTGTCAGATGAGAACAGGGTGATGTCTCCCTGAGGGAAGTCGCCTCTTTACACAACTCTGTGCAATTCTGATCCTGCGCAGATCAATATATCAAACTAGAATGAGAGAAAATTGATGTTGTAGGACCACACAATACAGGAGAGGCCCTTTGGCCCATCGTGGCTATACTGCCAACTTTTTATTAACTGGCACCTATGGGACCAGTGATGTATTGATTAATCAAGACGTCCACACAAGCAATGTAAAAAAACACACTACAATAGAAATGTAATGCAGGGGGCTATGCACATCAATGTTATACTTTATTTACAGCATAAATCACAGACATAATAATGCAACTTTAGTGTAAATAAAGCTTACCGACAGACAGCCTTCTCAGTCACACCCTCAACTGACTACATGGACATCGTGGAGATTGTGTTATTTGAGAAGAATTTGACTCAAATTTGAATTGACTTGATGTTTCGTGTGGCCATTTGATTGAACAACAAGTATATTTACATTGAGGTAAATAAATTAAAAACCATAATAATTAGATATGAATAATACAGCAAACTTCACAGTATTTGAGGTACATAATTTTTGCTCTTTTATTGATGGCACTGTTCATCAAGATGCCAGTCAAAACAAAGTTTCCTGTACTATCTACACTGGTTCCTCTTTCCAGCACTTGGCCGATAGCCTTGAATGTTATGACATTTCAAGTGCTCATCTAAGTACTTTCTAAAGGTTGTGAGGTGACTCTTCCAGGGAATGCATTCCAAATCACCCCCACTCGCTGGGTAAAAAGGTTTTTTTCCTCAAATCCCCTCTAGCCTAAGATCTACGCTGGGGAAATTGTTGGAGTCTATAATCAAGGCTGGGCAACTGAACATCTTGAAAATAATCAGGGAGAGTCAGCATAGATTCATAGCAGGTAGGTCACACCTGATGAACCTCATTGACGTTTTTGAAGAGGTGGCTAAGGTAGTGGACAGGGGATGTCTATGGGTGTTGTTTATATGGACTTATAGATAATTGATAATGCCCCACATAAGAAACTGTTAACTAAGGTAAAAGCCCATGAAACTGAGGGCAATTTACTGACATGGCTGGGCAATTGGTTGAGTGGCAGGTGACAGAAAGTAGAGATTTGGGTAGAATCCTAAATTGGTAGGATGTGACTAGTGATGTCCCACAAGGATTTGTGTTACAGCCTCAGTTATTCACATTATTTATTAATGACTTGAATAATGAATGGCGTAGAAAGTCATATGTCCAAATCTGCTGATGACACAGAGTTAGGCAGCATTGCAGACAGTGTAGATCAGAGCATGAAATTACAAAGGGATATTGATAGACACAGTGAGTGGGCAAAACTTTGGCAGATGGACTTCAATGTTAGCAATGTGAGGTAATCCATTTTGGACCAAAAAGGATAGATCAGGGTGCTTTCTAGTTAGTATGAAGTTAAATACAGTCGATGTCCAAAGATACTTATTAGGCGGCACGGTGGCTCAGTGGTTAGCACTGCTGCCTTACAGCATCAGGGACCGAGGATCGATTCCAGCTGTCGGTTTGCAGGTTCTCCCTATGTCTGTGTGGGTTTCTGCTGGGTCCTACAGTCCAAAGATGTGCAGGTTAGATGGATTGGCCGTGGTACATGTGTGGTTATGGGGATAGGGTAGGGAGTGGGTCAGGGTGGGGTGTTCTTTAGAGGATCAGTGCAGACTTGATAAGGCCGAAAGGCCTCTTTCCACACTGTAGGAAATCTATGACCAGCAGCATAGATCTTTAAAATGTCACAAACAGGTGAGAATCAGAGTCAGATCATTCAGGAGAGATGTTAGGAAGCACTTCTACACACAAAGGGTGGGAGAGGTCTGGAACTCTCTTCCACAAATGGCAGTGGATGCTGGATCAGCTGTTAATTTTAAATCTGAGGTCGATTTTATTTTGTTAAGCAAAGGTACTAAATGATATGGGCCAAAGGCAGGTACATGGAGTGAGGCCACAGATCAACCCTGATTTCACCAAATTGTGGAACAGGCTTGAGGGGCTGAATGGCCCACTCCAGTTTCCATGTAAACCTCCTCTCTTCAAAACAGAAATGAAGAATTTTCACATTTATCTTCTCACAGTAAGGGAGTGAAGAATACATAATAAATGTCTGCTTGGATTAAGAGTCAGATCGATTACACTAGATATGCTTGTGATCTTTACAGCCTGAGACAATTCAGTAGACAAAAGGTTTAGGAAAGTTTTGAACAGGAAAATCATTCTGTTTTGTTCACAAGTTAATTTTAAACACTCCTAAGTTTGTCAGTAAACATGAAACGATCAAAGATGGAATGAGGTTGCTGACTGTATCTGTCACACATCAATCATAGTCAATCGACACCATTTACAACATCCTAGTGATTGCTGCCAATATATCTCCCAGTTATAAAAACAGAAGTCGCTCGAAAAGCTCAGCAGGTCTGGCAGCATCTGTGAAGAGAATAACGTTTCAGTTCCTCAGAAGGGTCACTGGATCCGAGACGTTAACTCTGATTGCCCTTCTGTTTTTGTTTCTGATTTACAGTATCCATAGTTCTTTCGGTTTTTGAGCCAATAAAAGACCTTCCTGTTTAATTCTATAAGAGGCTGTGACCACCAGGTGGCGTAGCAATCCACTGTCATGAAATTCCTGGATTGTATCCCTGCTCCTTCAATCTCTGCAACCCTTACAAATGCAGGAGGGCAGAAAATAGGTGAGATGCTTCATGGAAATGGTGCACTGTTTTCCATGATCTTCTCACCCTCTCTGTTCATATGAGTACATTAATGACACAATCATCACTGGAAAGAAAAATGTGTGGCTGAAGCTTTCCATTTTGCACTCATCAGGTCAAATGCAAGAATGCCAAATTTCAAATCACCATAACAATTTATACCACTGGAGAAAAAATGTTGCTAATTGGATAAAAGCAAACGCTGATTGGCTGAGGCATTGCTATGGAAAAAGCAATAGTGGACTATAGGTTCCTAACATATTCCTTTTGTTTGCACAGCACCTGCCTGTGACTGTGAATGCATGCCATTTCTAGCAGGCAAAAATATCATGCATTCTGAGCTCAACACATTTTCCTAATTTGGTTGTTAGTGTAGTACGTTAATGCACTTGGGATTGTTCAGTAATCACGTTTAACAGTAAACATGTTGTTTGCATTTTGTGACAGGCCAAGCACAGTCTGCAGTCTGCCTATTACAAACAAGCAAATAAACCTACTGCTGGATGCAATCAGCCAGTCGAGGGATTGTGATTCACTGAGGGGGTGCTACACTGTCACAGATGTTGTCTTTCAGGCGATACATTACACGGAAGCCCCAACTACTCTCACAGGTCAGTGTAAAAGATGCCATGCCACTATTTATTCACAACCAAAATTATCATAATCCAGTTAGCTGGCCACTCACATATTGCTGCTTGTGTGGTCAAATTAGGTGCAACTTTTCCTTCATCACAATAATAACTTCACTTCAATAATTACTTAAGTGGTAATACAGCACTTTGAGATGTTCTGAGGTCATGAATGATGCTACTTAAAAGCATGCTTCTCCTTTCTACGGGTTAGCCACTGACATTGATTGAGG